TGTATGATTATTTTACAAATCACATGATCTTTCAGACTTAATTGAAATTTAATTGAAAGGCCGAGTCATTCAGGACATCATAAACCAGCTGGGTTAAAGTTCAGAACATAAAAGGACACGACCCTGAACTGAGATATTATCTTACAAGGCCGAGTCATCAGTGTATCTTTTGTATTTGAAGAGCTTTATAATTATAAAGTGGAAATTATAATTTTTTAGGGGCCGTGAAGAAAAATGTATTCTAAAAAATCACAAAATAGTACTTTTGGATACTGGTACATCAAATTAGGTAAATGTAAGTATGAAAGTATTAGTTCGGCTAAGGTAATAAAAAAATACCCCTGCCGCAGCAAACCTGCAAACTTGGCGAATTTCCATTTGCCTGATTGGGTTTTCCCTAAAACCTTGTATATTAAAACGTGACAGGGTTTTTTTTTATTTCACGATTCTGAATCAACCACTTGACGGATTTTCATGATTTTTGTGTTGAAAGAAAGATAATTTTGAGAACTAGGGAATGTCGAAGCCATAATTTTAGTTTAGGGTTTCAGTTTTTTAGAAAATAAGTTTAAAATTTTTAAAAAACTAGCAGCCGACGCTAACATCTTACACTAGCTTTTGGTATAATAACATTTGCTTAACGTAACAGCTGTAAGCATTAAGCGGGTGTGACACAAAGTCCAGTGCAATTAGACAAAAAATGACCTTGACCCGGACAAAATTGATTACAGGCTGAAAATTGGTGGAAACGTTCAGAACAATGTCCTGAGTGGCCCACACAAAGTCCCAAGAAATCCCAGTTGGGGAACGGCTGCCATCTTGAAAAAACTGCCGCCATCTTGGAAAATTAGATTTTTTGCTGTATTTTTTGAAGTAATAGTCCGGAAGGCATTATTTATGTCTCAAATTAAGCGTTTTGAACTCATGTATGAGGGTAGTATAATTAAAGAGTTTAATACGTTCTAAGCATAAATATTATTTATAGCAACCTAAAAATATATCTATAAAAATCATATAAATTTACAAAATATTTAAAAAATGAAGCTTTTTCTCTTTTGTTCTTAGTGGACTTGTTAAAGACATTAACCATTTGATATTTCTTGCAATTCACTATGTTTAGTCTTTGGAATTGGTTAAATAAGGGGTGAATAAAAAGTCAAGACCCCCCCCCCTCTAATAATTTTCTAAGTAAATATACAGAAATATCCTTTTGGTGTTGTTGAAACCATAGTAGGAAATTTAATTTGATGATTTTGAAATTTTTGAGTGTCCCCCCAAAAAAAGGAGATTTTGAGGACAACTCAAAAATTTTAAAGTATATCCTATTCAAGTGACACCTCATCTTGAAGTGTTTACAAAAACTTAAAGAATGGTGAAAACCAGAGTTCGCTATATCTTCTCTATCCAAAATGGTAGGCGTCAATTGTTTAATGACGATATTAAATGGGAACTTACTACACATTAATTTTCTTGTGTAGTAAAAAGTAATTCCCCCCCCCCCTCTAATTTGTTCCTAAGTAAATATTACAGAGTAATCCTTTTAGTGGTGATGCAACCTTAGCAGGAAGTTTCATTTTATGATTTTAAAATATTTGAGTACTCTCCTCTGTCCAAAATGGTAGCCACTATTACAATTACGAACCAATATTACCATTGATGTTCCATAACGTTTGACGGGCTACAATTTTTAATAAAGATAAATTGGAAACTCTGGTTTTCACCATTCATAAAGTTTTTGTAATCACATTAAAAAGAGATGTCACTTGAAGGGAGTTTACGTTTAAATTTTTGAGTTCCCCCAAAATCCCCCCTTTTTGGGGAATATTTAAAAATTTAAAAATCATAAAATAATACTCCCCTGCTAAGATTGGACGACCACCCAAAAGGACATCTCTGTATATTAACTTAGAAAATGTTAGAGAGGGGGGTATTGACTTTTTATTCACATAGATGCTTTAATTTGCTATTTATTTATTCCAACAGCAAGATCACTAATTTACAATGTGGATTCAAGAAGCCTAAGTAGTAACAACATGCATTTTAACAGAAAACTTAACTAACTTAATATGGCAGGAGCAGAGGAACATCGGTAACAGGAAATATAATCTTGCCTAGAAAAGCAACAATTTAACAGTGAAGTTAAAAATAAATTATGAAAAAGCAATTAATAATTTCGTTTGTTCTGATCTGAAAAATAGAATCATCTAGTTGCTATAATTGATTACAATTATATTTTAATATTGCATATAAACTTACAATGTAACTACTCGCTGTTAAATAATATTGACGGTGATGTAATCTTCTTTGTAACTAGCGAGGTTGGCACATCCGTGTCCAGAGCAGTATCCATGCATCGTGGTACAATTAAGACCATAAGGTTCCATAAGTTGTACTTTATCCAAGAATCCATTTCAACATGGACTTGGTTTGTGCGTATTTTAACCAAATATGAGTGAAGGATGAGTGTAGGATGAGTGGCGAGATCTTGTAGTCTTGTCTCAGTTGGTAGTTAATGAGCCATATGGTGTCAGCAAGACAAGCATCTACAACTATTTTTTGTTCGGAAAGGGCTGTACTGACATCTCCCAACACTACTAAAGATGTCACAGGCTTAGGCGGACGTTGGTAAGGTGTCACTGGCTGAAAGCCATGAGATAGAAGGACACTTTTTGCTTTTGGGATGTACTGGGATTTTGGGATGCTTTTGCTGATCGTGGTACAGGAGCACTTGCATTGACACATTTCGGCTGGTGTTATGCACTCAATGCCACCCATGGCGTGAAGAGTACCATGTCCATAAAGTGTTTTAACGTTGTAATCCACGTTGTCGAAAACATAATGAACGTAAGCTCCGTCATCTAATGAAGGTGATACATTATCAGCTATCGAAGTCTCATAATTGACGACAATCTTGTATGTCGAGCAAACTCCGAGCTACGATAGAATGTCTAACAGCAACTTCGAGCCATACCGTCTGTGAAGGCCGAGCAGCAGGGGTGATATGAAAGATCGTGGTCGAGCTGCATTAATAATTGCATGAGCTGTATTAATTGTCTCCTTTTCAAAGCTTTATCATAGTTAAATGGATATTATATTTATATTTAACCAATTCCAAAGACTAAGCATTGTGGGGTGCAAGAAATTGCAATAGGATTAAGGGCTTAAACAAGTACATTACGAAAAAAGAGAAAAAAGCTTATTTTGTATATTTATATCAATTATTTTAGATGGGGACGCCATTATGTGCGTATTTTAACCAAATATGACTGAAGGATGAGTGTAGGATGAGTGGCAAGATCTTGTAGTCTTGTTAGTGACTAAGGCCGACATGTTCCTTAGACACAGATGTTAATTAGTAGCCCACGCAGCTAATGGCAACTAAGGGGCATACAGTTTATGGAATCCGAACTACATTATAGTACTGAGAATAGTCATAGTACAGTATACTCACTAGTGCGGACGTTAATCCACACCAGGGAGCATCCCATCCACCTTGCATGCCTATAAATGTCCACAATTCGTATAAAAAATGGGACATAACCGTATCTAAATCATTATTATAGATATTTTTAGGTTAATATAAATAAAACTAATGCTTAGAACATAATAAACTCTTTAATTATATATTACCCTCATACATGAGCCCAAAACGTTTAATTTGAGACATAAATAATGCCTTTCGGACTATTACTTCAAAAGATACAGCAAGAAATCTAAATTTCCAAGATGGCGGCAGTTTTTTTCAAGATGGCGGCCGTTCCCCAACTGGGATTTCTTGGGACTTTGTGTGGGCCACTCAGGACATTGTTTTGAACATTTCCACCAATTTTCAGCCTGTTATCAATTTTGTCCGGGTTATAACCTAATTGCACTGGACTACAAATTCAGTATTTGGATAAGAATGACATGCATAGTGTTGACTTATTTATACTATATGTGTAATGCTATACTCATTGATACGTTCATTTATTTCGTAAGAGGATGACAGACTTTAAATATATACATAGTAAAATGCTAGATGTTCTAATTAATTTTTTAAAAGCAGTCTTTAACATTTTCAGTTTGTTTTAGTGCAATATATAATTTGTTTTAACTAACAGCTGCTTGAGTATAAAAATATTCTATAGAACTGTCAGGTTAGTATATTCTTCTGTGATTTTGCCATTGATTATAGGAAATAAGTAAGATTCTTTACAATAAATGATTTTGTTTAAAATAAATGTTTAACAACCGCTTAAACTTTCCTTGGATTAGAAATGGAAATATTGGCATAGCTTCAGTTTTAGTTGACTACTCAATTCCCGTACGTAGGACGGGCAAACAGCTCGTAACTCCTTAAGTTAAAAGTGACATATTTATTCCAAATTTAAATAATAGGCTATTAGTTTAACGAGTAAATAGATTTGCTACTACAGGAAAGGTAATACTGTAAAGTGTTCTTTAGTAAAAAGTTAATAGTTTAGAATGAAATAATAAATGTTCCAAAATTTGATCAAAATATGTTTATGATCAAGCAAAATACACAAGTTTACTTATTCTCAATAAGAATAACATGGACATTTAATTTTACTTTTACAGTTTTTTAGAATATTTGATTGCAGTTGAATCGATTAAATGAGGACTTCTATTTTAATAAAGCGAGGTTTAACATTTTAACTTAGGCGCACAACAATTATTGAACACCCCTCTTGCAATCAAGTGTCATAACAATAGCCTTCACTTTCCTATAAACTCATAATTTTCTTAGAAATTCATGTAATTTATTACCTTTATCAGAACAAATATATCCAATTTACTTACTGAGTTAGTCAGAATCTGATAACAGAAGTTTATTAAAATCTGACTGCTGACTAATAAACTTACATTCAATAAAACTAAATCCACAACAATAACAACAGATATTGTCAACAATGTAACAGCTGACATTTGACAGACACCTGTCTCAGAGGGGGGATAGCCCCCCTCCCCCCACAGTGCTGTGAACTGTTTATTGCACAGTGTTGTAGGCCACACTTGGCGAGTTGTCCTAGGCTTAGGAGGCACAGGCACTATCTTAAAATCGTAAGTTTTTTTCTCTTGTAAATATATTTTTTATTTATGTTGATGTAAAAATATGTTATTTGTTTTTAGAGTTACAACAATGTGTAATTGAAGGAATTTTGGAAAATCTTACATGTCAAAAAAGTAAATAAAAACGATACTTGATAGGATGTTTTGGAATTTTTTTCTACTTTAAAACTTCAATATGTTTTTTGGAGTGATATTATTTTAATGTTTAATCTATTTTTGGGAACAATACTACAGTATTTGATTAGTTAACATTTTATTTTATAAAAATTACTACACAGATTATATGAAGACTAAATAAAAATGGTCAATTAAAAAGTATAGTATAGTATCCAATAGTCAATGGTATAACTTAATATATTTGACATTTTTGTACCTAATGGATTATGCATTGACATTTTCATCAACAATAGAATATTATCAAGATGAATTAATCGGCACAGCGTACATCACAATACAACAAGTTTGAAATACAACAAGTCCGTTTAGAATAATGTAAATCCCATAATTAAAGCCTTTACAGTATAAATGTATACATGCATACTATCTTTGAGAATTATGATTTAATTTTCTATAAAGCACTATTACAAGAGATTTTATCAATGTTTAAAAATATATAAAACTGAATTTTATAATCCTCTCCTTACAGGATGTTTCAATTTGAATATTAAATCCTTTTTACAAAATATTACACAAATTTAAAAGACTGAGTTGTATTCTGTACAGTGTTTTATGTACAGCTTTCCGACTTCGATGTTGGAGTAGATGTTATTGATAAGACACATTGCAGATAACATAAAACATAACAACTAACAACTCCGTGGCACTAACTGTTTTAAATCAACAATAATAATTCCAAATGCTAACAAAATTTCAATAAAGATTAAAACTGTGCAAATTGGTGTTCAAATGTCATTAAATTTATCACTACTCTTCTATTGGTTATAATGCTATTTAATATTGATACCAAAAGAATGACAGTACATTGTAGGACTTTGTTAATGGGAACTTAAACCATGGATAGTAGATTTCTCATACTTAATAGAACAGTTGAAGCCAATTTTTTTATTGTTAGTTCTGTCCGGTGCACTGTAAGTAGAGGTCGTGTTTTGTTTACATTGTTTCTCGTTATTTCAGTAATTTAAAACCTCGTTTAACCAAAGAAAACGATCCAACCATAAACAATAACTCGTCCCCTGGTTATATAAACAAACAGTAAAGCACAAATCATGAAATTAACCCTAAAATAATTGAAACAAAATTTCGTCGAGACTATCGATCAGTGTCACAGTGACATGAACACTGTGACATGTGACATGAACTAGACACGAAAAACGAGCTTCAAAATGTACAATGGGATGAGAAGTCTACTTGTGTTGGTTAGTCTATGTTTAGCTCATAACAAACAACTATGGCTCAACTGTGTGGATGTTTAATCATTTTTTAAACCATCACCCCCAAAAAATATTCATGATTGCTGTGGATCACGGCGTTTCGAAAGACAGATCAATTCATGACATTTAAAACCCAATAAATAGCTAGAATGTATTGTATGTAAAAATTAAACGAATATTCACGATTATCATAGGACTCCTTTTAAAAATGATAATAGAATTTATAGGGCATTGGTACATATGTTGTTATAAATAATCTAAATCCCTTTTAAAGCCGCGTTTACACTATGTAACAAAACACTGTTTTATAACATTGTTATAAAACTTTTCACACAGGAATGCAGTTTGTCTAAAACAAAAGTTATATAACATTGTTTGAATAACAATGTTTTAAAACACTTTTTAAGGAATGCAGTTTCATGACTTTAAAAGTTATATAACCTTGTTTTAAAACAGTGAAAGTTTGTTTTAAAACCATGTTACATCTTTCCCGTCCATAGTCGGTAGAGATCAAAGGGTATTATAAAACAATGTTTTAAAACATTGTTACAGGCGTTTGGGCGTGCCGAATTTGTTTTATAACTTTATATTGCCGGTATCTTTTAATAATATAAAGCTAGACGGCCGCACTCACTCACTCACTCACTGATATAAATAACTACCTGATGTACCCGTGCTTCGCAGCTATAAGCCTAGTTACACTATAAAAGTTATTTTACAAAAATATTGTATTAAATAAGAATTTATAAAATATACTTTGTATAATTTGTTTGATATGTACCAGATAAATGGGTATGTTTACACTATTTCGGAAGGTAATAGTCCAGTACACAAAATATATGAACCATGCACGAAGTCCGGTAGTTATACACATCAATAAATGTAATAAAGGAGAAGTTATAAAAGAAGTCTTTTCTAAAAGATTACCATTGTTTTGCAAAAAGAATTGTGTACAATATCTTCTATAAAATAATTTCCAATGTATGTCCAGTAAGAGCAAATATGAGTCAGCTGTTTAGATGAGCCGTTCTGTATGCGGTGGGGCACACGGAAGAAGCCATCTTGGAAAGAGAGACGTGTTTTATAACTTTGTTTAATACTTAAAAAGATAGTAAACATTTGTTATCAAACTTTATTTTATAAGACTGTTTTACAACAATGTTGTAAAACGATGTTATAGGTTTTTTTCATTTTCTTAAAACATTGTTACATAACAAAGTTACAAAACAATGTTCGGTAACTTTGTTTTAAAACTTTGTTACATAGTGTAAACGCTTTCAATCAACAATGATTCAACATGATTCAACTCACTAAAATAGCTTTGTGTACATTAAAACCCCACTAATCCGACACAATTTACTGTCCAAAAATCCACTAATCCACTGTAGGTAGCGTGTATATCCACGTACCTGTGTTAGTTTTATTAGTTGTGTTCCAACGCTGAGTGTATTTCGTGTCGATTTTTGTTCTAAATGTTACGTTGAGTGGGCTCATTTAATTAGTAATCTGTTTGGGGGTTTATTTTGCGTTGTTTGACAGAGGTTCGATCGTGGCCAAGAGGTTGAAGTCAGGTGTTCTCAGAATAGCTGTTTGATACCATTCCCATAAATAGCCAATTTAAATATGTTTTATAAATGAATTCAATATCCTAACAAAATCGTTTACAGCAATTTTTTGACGGCACCCAGTAAGGGAATTGGCCTTCTGAGTCTGACAATAGCAACAACAAAGTTTAGTTTCCCGAGGTAGTTTTGGACTCGACTGAAGGACTGACCACAATTGAGTATTGTCTCAAACGCGCAAAAGACGTAGTTTTAATTCAAAAATACGACACGACATATGTCGTAGGGTCGTGCATTGATTGCGCCAAAGATCTCCTGAATTGCGCCAAGCCCTCAAAGGACCCAAAGAAATTGTCCTTAGTTGCGCCAAGCCGCCAAGCCTAATACGCTAGGGAGGGGTGAGTTGCCGGCAGAAGGAATGTCCTTGTTTACATGTCATCCTAATATATCCTAACCTAGCCTAACCTAACTTATATCCTATACTAACCTGACTAGCCCAACCTAACCTACTAAATTACACAGTCAAAGCCGGCCAGCCGACAATGAACGTTTCGGGTGGCTCCCTCTGGAGTAGTTGGTGCAATTAAGGAATACCCAATACCTGACTCAGGTCAGTTGGCGCAATTAATGCCCCATGTCGTAGATATACAATGTGTGGACTGCTGGAGTTGCCGAACTATGAGCTCAGATTTGGACCACTACATTCAGTTGCATAGCAAGTCGTGCAACTTTAGTGCACAACTTAGTACCTGGTGACCTTAGGCCAAAGCCCATGAAGCGAAGCTCGGCCCCCAAGTAATAAAAAGCTAATGTTAATTGCCCCTTGGATAAACGTTCAGGTTTAACGAGGAAATAGTTCAAATCACCCTCTGGAGACAAGGTAAACTGGAATGTGAAATGCCAAACGCAGCGTTAATGCCAAGCCAATGCTAACGTGTTGTGTTAAGTGTGCAGAAATACGAATGTAACATTCCGGCAGGTGATAACTTGTTCTATGCTTTGTCTGTAACATTTACATAAAGTGGAAGTATTAAATGTTTTTAGTCAATTTCCCATATAAGGAATAAGCTATTACCGTATTTTTCATAAGATCTAGGCCCGGACCGATTTACTTTCGTTTTAATGTACTTTTAGGCCAAAAACACCATCCGTTCAAATGTATATAGGCTTCAAACACGTATTTATAATGTGCTTGTGTCCGCTAGCACGATAACTCGAGTAAAAATAATCTGATTTTGATGACATTTTGTATGAATGTGTAAACCTACGTTTATTTGAACACGTTTACGAACGAGCATAATCAGACTATGGGAACAGGGGTTTATGGGTTAAAAATTGGGTTTCCCGTTTACTTTTTGACTCTTATAACTCAAAAACGAAAAATTGTTAACCATTTTGTAGAACTAAAAAAATTAACATACGTACGTTTTTTAGGGCGTACGTTGTTGTACGCGTACGCATAATAATTATGGAGAAAATTCTTAAAACTGTATATTTTTTTAAAGTTCTTATGTTATTATTTGGGAATAAGTAAACTACTGTTGTTTTGCTTGTTTATAAGTATATGTTGATCAAATTTGGCAAATTTACTTATTTTATACCAGCTTTTTGAATTGTTTACCAATAAACAGACTTTAACTACTTTCCCTGTTGCACTCATTAAAACATATTGTAATTTAAATAGGGAATTTATCCAACATTTTAAAGGAAATATTTGAGTTTAAATTAAATCAGGCTGAAGGAAATACATCTATTTTTGAATGACATGTTTTAGGCGAGGTTTATTACATTGATCAACCCAGTGGGCTTCACTCATTAACAAAGTTGAGTGAAGCCCACAAGATTGAACAAAGGAAATTTGCTTATTCTGCAGGTTGCTGTGGCGGGGTTATTTTATTACTGTCTTCAGATATTTTCGTAAAACCATAGGGTTTATTAGTTGTGCTCCAACGCTGAGTGTATTTCGTGTCGATTCTTGTTCTAAATGTTACGTCGATTGAAGAAAAGGTGCTATACCGTACTAAAAAGTTGTTAATGC